GCCCTGCCCTTGCCCGAGCTCCTTTTCTGGTAGCTGGGTCTGGGCTGTGTTCACGTCGAAGAGCTGGAGCCTTTGCCGGACTCACCCTTGCCTTCTTGGCGGACGTGTACGCGGGCGCGCTGGACGATCAAGACGTCCGTGCTCTCGTGGAAGGTTGTCGAATTTCCTGCGGATGTCAGCGCCGTCATATTCTCCAGAGGCGAGAGGCCTGCATGGCCCAAGAGAAGGGAGCCAAGCACATCGTCGCTCATCAAGATCTTCGGATCTAACTTGGAGACAAATTTCCAGCAGCGCTTCCTTCGGGAAAAGTACGAGACCATAGACTGACCGTGCTGCCGAGACAGTGGTCCATGAGGTCTGTGCCCCACCTGGAACAGGACCTTCGCTTCCTGCGCCTCTATGGGGAAGAGTGAAGTACGAGTCGCCAGCACCAGCTGATAGATCCCCTTCGGAGTCAGAAGCACATCCCTACCAATATCCATGGCAATATCGAACGCGTCACCTCTGAGGCCTTCTACACCCTTGTTGACAGCTGCGGTGGTCACGCGCTGCTGTGGTGCACCCGTCTCGTGATCCACTGAAGCCACCGCGGCGCTCACGCGAATGTCTGTGCGGAGTTCCCAGTCGTGAAAGTTGTGCACCGTGCCGTCGTAGATGTAGGAGCCAATCTTCGTATCGGACCGCGTCAGCGCGTCGGCGCTCGGCCGATAGCGAAGAGAAGAAAGTGCCATGGCGCAAGGCTCAGCCTCCAAGCGAGGGAAACTGCAAACACAGGAAGTAAAGAGAGGTATTGCGACACTCTCTGACGAGACGTGCGCACAGTGGTACGATACGGGGATCGTGTGGTAACTCCGCTACCAGTGTGATGATACTGCGTTTTAGAACCATGGGGAAAGGGGCCCCTAGATGTCAAACGACAGCGAGTGGTGCATATTCACACGTGACACGCGCACTATCTCACACTGCTCTCCGTGTCCATGTTCGCTTCAATACGAGTGGGAGTTGCCAGGATGCCTTCACCACCTTCACCAGCAGGATGTCTCACTTCACGCGAATTGATAATGACCTGCCGCCTTTTTTTTTCCCCACGCCTTTGACATCAACAACACCACCAGTGAACGGCGAGGATCCATTCGGAACAACAGCGCAAGCAGCGGGCGCACCAGCAGGCACGGCGCCGGCAGGAGCGTACTTCATGGCAGAAAAAGGGGGTGTGCGAAATGTCAACCTGGGTACGACACCCAAATCGGTTTCAGCCGAGAGCTGCCCGTTCAGAACGATGCATGTCACCAGACACATTTTGAGCCCAAGTGGCAACGGAGGAGGGGGGGGAGGAGGAGGAGGAGGAGGAGGAGGAGGAGGAGGAGGAGGAGGAGGAGGAGGAGGAGAAAGGAGGGGGAGGAGGAGGGAGGACGAGGAGAAGGAGGAGGAAGAGGTCCGTTGCCATTTTGGTGCAAGGAAGAGTCCGTGCGGGCGCGAGAGCAATGGCTTCACGGGAGGACACGGGCGATGCGCGTCCGTTTCACCAATACAACGCGTTGGCGCTGCAGAAAACGCATCAAGAGAAACTCGGCGGTAAGCCGCAAATCGTGAAGCTGCCACAGATCGAGTACCATAGGAAACGCTCCGCAGCAGACAGGCAGGCCCCCGGGAACTGGGCTAAGGCCTCAGCGGATCGTGCCATCCAGAAGCTCAATGGTGCTCTGAAGGACATCCGAGCGCAGCACGAAAACGTCCTGCTGTTGCGCCTGCACTCGCACCCCGAGATCACTTGCGGTAGTGCACTCGTTGGAGGATCTTGTGAGCGGTCGGACACCAGAAAATGTAGACGCCCTTACGCGCAACGTTGCTGTGCATGCAGATGGGAATGCATATTGCCCACCTCAAGAAAGCGAGGTGGGGTCCGAGGCTTGAATCTCGGGCTCCCTCCACAGAGGTGTTCGTGATGCGCGCCTGCTTTTGTACCCACCGTGGTCGTGGCCAAGCCCGCCTCAGCTGACGAGGCCGACGGCGAGCTAAAGGGGGCGCTGGTGCACGTGCCTGGAGCAACCTGGTGGCAGGCTCGTGCGGCCATCGCTGAAGAATGGCTCCACCCTAAGACCGTGGAGAGTCTGCATCACGAGAGGCTAGGTACACACGACGTGACTGTCGAAAAGTACAACGCCGCTAAGGTGAATGGTGCGGGAGAAAAAGACAGAACCACCTACAATGACAAGGGCTGGGTCAAGGACGAGCAGGCGGAACGTCCCTCCGAAAGTGCGAGGCCCTTGACACAGGCCAAGGATGAGTGCCGAGCTTGAGCTAGGACGCGCCGTTGTAGAAGCGGTGCCAAATGTAGCGACTGTGCCAGAAGGCGTCTCGGCAGACCCTGATCCTCTCTTCACTTGCCCCTCACTTCCCTCTCTCCCCGCTTGTCCTCTCATGCTGCGTCGGTTATGAATGCACGTCGAGCCCTGCCACGGCTTCTGACAAGGTCAATTGATGCGACCTGTCCAGCCTCGCGTGGTTGCACTTGGGTGTCGTCACGGCTCAGAAGCCGGTCTCTGCAAGTGGGGTTGCAGGGGTGATCCCGCACAGCCAGGACAAATACATCAGCAGAAATTGTTTTTTTACCTGTTGTGCAACAGCAGCTTGTGAGGCAGAAGTCGACGACATCTTGCGATGCATAATGTACTTACAATGTATCCCCTGATCATGGCGCCGGGCCCAGCATAGACGAATCCAGTTCAGCAGTCCTGCAAAGCGAGTGCACTGTAATTCCAGCTGCTGGCAACAGAGCAGAAGGGTACCGCATAATCTCTTTACATGATGCGTGCAGGTTGCAGACAGCAGTAGTAGGGGGCAAACAAACCACCCCGGTTTTGACCACCCTCGCTTCCAAGAGATACCAAGCGAAGCCAAACTACGGCATGTACTGGCCGCTTGACGAGGAGGCGTATGGTGTGACTTGGTTTACTTGGTTTTGCCTGGAAGCGAAAGCGGGGTAGGTAATTCACGCTCTGAAGTAGGGGAGCATCCGTCAGGATGATGTGGGGATGGGTGAATGCGCTGCTTGGAGAGGCCCCCAGGCAGCAGGTACTGAAAGCGAGAGCATTTCGCCAGTAGGTTCTTCTGACCTCCTGTGCTTTTGGCCCAAGGCCCAGATCGAGCCCTGATCGAATCCCTCCTGATCAGGCGTCCCTTCCTCTCCTGATCCCTCCCTCTCTCTCCACTTGTCCTCCCTGGCTGCACCGGTTATGGACGCACGGCGAGCCTTGCCGGTGGGTTCTAGGAGGACAACTGGTGTTCGGTGGGGGGAGCCGGACGTGGGAGGATCCATTCAAGCTGGGCGGCATTAGCAGGGTACCGCTGGATCTGGCTGTCTGCCGTGGCCCTCGGTCTTTCGGAGTCCGAGTGCCCCCCCTCCTCTTTGCATGCCCGGCCTCGCGTGCCTGCACTTGAGCAGGAGGGGTGCCGTAACGGCTCGTGGGGCCGATCTCTGCCAGCGTTGGGTTGCAAGGCTGATCCCGCACAGCCAGGGCCAACATAGCAGCAGAGAGACTAGTTCGGCCTCACAAGTTGGGCGCAGCAGCAGAATGCGAGGCAGGATTCGACGTCGTCCTTCGATGCGCACTGGGTTTATAGTTTCTCCCTTGGCCAGGGCGCCTAGCCTTGGACACACGATTCCAGTCCAGCAGTCCCGCACAGCGAGTACGCTGTAATCCAAGCTGTCGACAACTGATCAGCAGGGTACTACGTAATATCTTCGCATGTCCTGTGCAGATAGCAGCAGAAGGGGGAGAGGGGGAGACATAGTCAGGATGGTGCGTGGAGGGGAGGTCGTGCTGCCTTGGAGAGGCCCCCAGGCAGCAGGCACTGCGAGCGAGGGAGCTTCGTTCTCGCCACCCTGAACTCGGGTGTAGGCTGAGCCTGCTCGACCTGTACCTCGTGCGCGAAACCGTGGAGCCGTCAGGAGGAGAAGGAGAGCGCACCTCCGACGCAGGGTTGCCCGACCTCTAGCACCACGCCCGCCCTGGCCCAACGGGCCTTCTGGCCCTTGAAATGCGAGGCGGTGGTGGAGGAGGAGGAGGCGGAGGAGGCGGAGGAGGAGGAGGAAAAGGAGGAGGCGGAGGAGGCGGGGGAGGGATAGGAGGAGGAGGAGGAGGAGGAGGAGGAGGAGGAGGAGGAGGAGGAGGAGGAGGAGGAGGGAGAGGAGGAGGGGGAGGAGGAGGAGGAGGCAAGACAAGGCAAGAACTGCACCAGGCCAACGTCAGAGTTACACTCGACAAAGCTACACATTGCACATTACAACATGTACGACCTGCAGTGCGCGCACACAGTCCAGAACAAAAGCGCCCCCCACCCAGTAGGGAGCCCCGAATTGCCTTCGCTCGAGGAGGCGAAGTCTCGAAAAGCGTTCTAACTCAGCTCGAACTCAGCGGAATTAGATTTGCTAATGCTGCAGCTGCACACGCGCAATCTACTATCATGCATCCTGTTCGTCACAGTCCTATCGCTACCCTCCCGCTGCTGACTCTCACTCAGACGTTTCTCACCATCCCTCGTCGCTGAACCAGCTCGCTGGGCTGCTGGGGGGGCAGAGGACGTCGTAAACCCCGTGCAGTCACCATTCCCATCGACTCTTACCTGAGACGCCGCTGGAGCCTGAGACGCGGTAGAGACACCGTTCCCATTGCCACTCCTCAGGGACGCCGTCGGGGCACGCGTCGCCGTATAGACCCCATTTCCAATGCATCTCATCTGGGACGCCGTCGGAGCGCGAGACGCCATGCAGACACCATTCCCACTGCCTGTCCTCTGGGATGCCGTCGAAGCGCGCGTCGCCACGAGGAGGAGGAGGAGGAGGAGGAGGAGGAGGAGGAGGAGGAGGAGGGGGAGGAGGCGCAGGAGGGGAAGGAGGAGGAGTCGCAGGGCTCGAGGGCGACTCCTCCTCCAAGCAGTCCGCAGGGGCCGAGCCGCGGAGAGAGAGCCACCCGCGCCCCAGGCGCCAAGGGGGGCGCCCGCGCAGCGCTCCACCGGGCTTCGGGCGTGCCCTCGTCAAGCAGCCGCACGAGCGGGGGGATGCCGCCGGAGACCGCGACGGCGACCCTCGGGCGCGGGGGTCCGTCGTCCGCCGTCGTCGTCGTCCGTCGTCCGTCGTCGCCGACGTTGCCCTCGTCGCCGTGGTCGCCGCCGTGATCGTCGTCGTCGTCGTCGTCGTCGTCGTCGTCCGTCGTCCTCCTCGTCCTCCTGCGCTCCTCCATCCCTCCCCGCGTCCTCATCCCCCTCCTTCTCCCCCTCCTCCTGCTGTATCCTTCCTCGTCCTACCCCAAGTGTTCCCCAAGGATTTCCATGGCCCAATCGCTTCGACTGCCCAACATGCGTCTTCAACATGTGTGAATGCACGCTTGTAAATGTATGTGTGGAAGCACGCAAGCATGAGAGCATGCATGTATGGTTGTCTGTCTGTCCTCTGTCCGAATGACTGTCCGTCCGTCCGTTTTCCCGTCATCCCGTTGATCGGCATGTAGGTATGTACGATGTACGTGCGTATGCCTGTATGTATGTATGTACGTATGGATGAATGAATGGATGGATGGATGGATGGATCGATGGATGTGTGTGGGTGTATACATGTAAGTTATATATGGATGTTTGTATGGATATGTGTATGTATGGTTGGATGTACGTATATATGTGTGCATGTATGCATGCATGTATGTGTGCATGCATGCATGCATGTATATATGTATGTATGTGTGTGTGCGTACGTCCGTACATATGTATGGTTGCACCCCGCAGATGCGGATAAGAGTGAGGGGGCGGTGGGGACGTCGGCAAGTTGCGGGACCCTGGAGAAGCCCGCAGCAGGCGCCAAAGTTTCACTAATTATACAACGAGCCCGCCACAGGCGCCGATTTTTTCGTTAAACAAATGTGGGTCGGTCGCGGGTGTAGAAAGCAAAAAGTCCCCCCTTTAATAATCAACCCGGCAAGCGAAACCGTTTAGTAAACGCACACAAGCAAGGAATCGAACAAGGCAGCGCTGTTTGGTAAACGCTCAGGGCCGTTTAGACAACGTCAATTGTCGGGTCCGGATGGTTTTTCCTCCCTTGAAGGTGGGTCGCGGGGTGGGTCGCGGGAGGGGCGCGGGGGGGGTCGAGGGGTGGGTCGCGGGTCCTCAGGAGGAGGAAGAGGAGGAGGAGGAGGAAACAAAGGAGGAGGAGGAGGAGAAGGAGGAGGACCCTGAGGGGGAGGATTGGGAGGAGGAGGAGGCGGCGGAGGGCGAGGAGGTGCGGAGGATGATGATGAGGCGCCGGAGGATGCTGAGTAATGTGTCACTAGCGCAGGGAAGTGGAGGAGGGTGAGGAGGAGGCGGAGGAGGAGGAGGAAAATGAGGAGGAGGAGGAGGAGGAGGAGGAGGAGGAGGCGGGGTCTTCTGTCATTGGTGCACTCGTTGTGCTCGCATGCCGCTGCCATGACCATTCGAGTCCTGACGCGCCCCACTGGGGTAAAACATTGGCACCCGTACTGGAAAGGACACGTGCTTCAGAACGCCGTACGAATCAGGTGGACGACGATGGCGACGACGACGGCGACGACAACGTGGACGACAACGACGACGAGGTCGAGGTCGAGGACGAGGGCGACGGCAATATCGACGGCGATGAGGCATACGAGGATGAGGAGGGAAAGGCGGAACAGCAGGAGGAGGATGAGGAGGAGGAGGAGGATAAGGATAAGGATATGGGGGAGGAGGAGAAGGAGGAGGAGGAGGAGGAGGAGGAGAAGAAGGAGGAAAATAATAAGTAAGAGGAGGAGAAGGAAGAGCAGCAGCAGCAGCGGCAACAGCATCATCGTCAGAACCAGCAGTGGCCGCGTCGTCGGCGTCGTCGTCGTCGTCGCGCGCCCGCTCGCCCATCCCCGCGGGAGGAGGAGGAGGAGGAGCAGGAGGAGGAGGAGGAGGAGCAGGAGGAGGAGGAAGAGGAGGAGGAGGAGGAATATTTGTTTCACCAGCGCGACACTGCTCACAATTAAGTAAACGATTTGTTTTAAAGGCTCCGCCTGCACATGGGACAATTTAGGGTGTTCGCCCTTCAAGAGATTATCCGAAGCCAAGGTGGAAAAATGAGACGCCTTTGTATCCATAGTGGAACCAATGCCTGCATTGCAATACTTACGAAATTTGCGGAACTGACCTCTGTTTGTATACGCTTTACACCTCTGGCAAGCGTATAACAAAGTACCATCGCTGCACGAACAAAAACCTTAAGCAAGTGCTTACGCTGCCCAATTTCGAGGGCGACTGCGGGCAGCTCGCCAGAGCAACCCGTGTTCGGAGGCTTACACTCGGAACGTTTGCTCTTCAAGCAGCGCTGACATCTCCAAAAGGAGCGGCACCACGTCCGCTCATGAGCTACGGATGGTGTCGACGTCTGGGGCCTGCTTACCGCGGGGATCCTCGGAACACTGTCGAGGCTGATCCTCGGCCAGAGCGGCAACAAAAGGGCGGCGAGTGCACAGACTTTCCGGGCGATCGCGATTCTGTCGTCTATCTGCTGCAACTCCTGTTCAGAAGCCCGCGGGTGGCTCCACGCACCTTGCTTGGCAGCTGCGTCTGCTTGGTCGTTGCCAAGCTAAAAAAATATTGGATTCGCTTATCGTGCCATCACCCACGGCATGGGCTTTCACTTTGACAACATCAGAGTACAGGCTGGCAGGCATCTTTAAGAGGGCCCCCGCGTAAAGTTTTTTGTGGGACACCTGATGGGCCACCAGAGCCTTGAAAGCAGAGACGACGTTGGCGCAGTCAGAGTACCCCACCGAGGGCCCTATGAGGAGCTCGCTGGTGGCCCCGTGACCACAAAACTCACCAGCCTGGGAGGTTCGAGGGAGAAAGCTGGGGACGGGGCCTGAGACAGTGCATACTAGGCTACGCTGCTGATCGAAAACCGCCTCCCCCCACCCAGCCCGGGAAATTTCTATGATAGGGCTCTTCAAGCCCAATCTATCAAAAAAACGTGCCTTTCTAACTCAGTGCTGGCACAAGTGGGATCTCCAACCCATTGAACAGACGCACCTCCTTCAGACTCAGGCACCGGCACCGAACCGCCTGGGTGTTGCAAAATGCCCATGGTGAACAGGTTCCAATCGGGACAATCAGGGTGGATATTGCTGGGTCGGGCGGTCAGATCGTCACCGACTAGCTCGGAACGCTGCTCGCTGACGGCCTGGCACTCCCATGAACGATGAAACATGGTATCAGCACCAGCTCCACAGAGAGGGCACGCCACACTATCGAGCATATCGCCCGCTTCTTGCGTCTTGGTGCACGTCCAGCACGCACCGCATACAAGACTGCGAATAAAACCTGTCTCAAAACACGCCCACTTCTCCTTTCGAAGTTCCTGGATGACGATGTCGCAGCAGGCCCTCTCGGGGCCCGTGCCCAGAGAAGCTCCAGATAGCCTTTGAAGATGCCCCAACATTCCTTCCCTCAAGAACTTCTTGAGCATGCGCGGAGACGAATAGGTCAGCCCCCAAAAGATATTCTGGTCCGTGACAATCGCCGTGAAATCAGACATGCTCCATCCTATCCTGGATAGGGGCGCCCCCATGGCCGAAATAGGTCCAGACACTTTTTTCCAAGTTGGAAAAGGCTCCCACGAGCTCCTCAACACCGAAAGTGGCACAACAAACTCGAACCGCCGTGTCGTGTTCAGCCAGACCCGTTTGGCGCAACGCAAGATCGGCGCCGCGGCTGCGCAGTAGCACGGGTCGCTCTCCAAGATGCAGAAAGGGAACCTGCAGACGGCTTCACGCACTTGCCGAACGCTCGGCGAAGCATCTCGCGCTCGTGGTCTGAGGGGCCGTGCACCTCCGCGCCGAAGGTGACTCCGGCTAGGGGTCCCGCGATGAAAATTGTTCTGGGCCGCTTCCCGAAGGCAGCCTTGGATTTCTGAAGCCTCCTCGTCCTTGCCCGCGGAATCTTCGGCCTGGAGTTCCACGTAGCCCCGCGGCGCCCCTTCCGCCATGGCTTCCCCGTGGCGCCGTCGACTCCCAGATTCACAGCAGATGGTTCGGCTGGACCCCCAGCGTATTTTCAGAAAAAATGCACGAGCTCCCCCCCTGAGGAGGGGGCGGAAACAACGACCGACGCCTTCTCGTCCGCAACCGAGCAATGCATGTCCTGATGGATCGCCTTCATCAACATCGCGGCTCCTTCATTCAAGTCTGTGCTGACCGAGGCTTCGGCACGTGCTGCAGAAACTCCGTAGTCGCCGATGTAAACATCCAGGGCAAGTGCCGAGGGATCTGGATGTCGTCTATCACAGGGATGACGTAAACCCGAACAAACGACGTCGCCATCGAACAGCCCGCAACATCTCCACGAATCTAGTAAAAAGGTCCAACTGAAATTTTCGGCATAGCCAACAATCGCGCACCACGATACGCTGTCACGCATGCTCTGGTAATCTGCACTGGGAAGCCTAACATCTCAGCTCGCTCTTCAACAAGAGTGGACGCATGCACCCGTGCCATTTGAGAAGGTCCCACAATGGCGACGCTGAAACTTTGCCTTGTCGAAATCCAGCTTCGCCCCTCAGAGCCTCCCCCCAGACCGCGTCCGCGGCACCGTTGCAAGCCGTGGCCTCCAAATAACGCCTAGAATTCTGCAGCCCCCACTGGCTAGCGAGCCTTCTGCGAGCCCTGCCCTAAAGACGACAGCCCGAACTAGTAAGGCCGATGGGCCCGAATCCCCCTTGAGGCTTCGCCAGAAAAGCCACGCGGAAGAACTGGACACGGCGCGGGAGGGGCCTGGAAGCCTCGATGATCCGAAGCATCATACTGGAAGTTGCTAGACATCCATCGGACATTCTGGCATACTGACGCACGTGAAATCCGTCAACCGAGATGGCCGCCGCCAAGGAGTAGGAGCGGCTAATCTTTCGAACGTCGTCAGGGATGAGGATGTCGAAAGAGTCTAAGATGGTGAGGGGCTTATCGATGAGGTCGGGCTCCTTCTCTGCGTGCCACAATCCCGCGAATCGAACCGCCCCCATGTTCAACGGGTCCAACGGGCCCGAGACCAGGTGGCCATGCTTGGAT